TTAAGAACGGAAGTTTTAACGATATTAGAATTTCTGTTTGCGTGGATCCGTGGATCAACTTAATATTTATGTTTATATTCTCAAAACTTAAACAAATTAGGCACAGAAGTTATCTAAAAAATTTACGGATTTAGCTGAAATCTGAAACTCTAGAGTTATCTTTTAGGTCACTGTTAGAAATAACTTTCTAAATTAGTTTTGGTCTCTGATTTGAGTGTTCTGGGTAGTGTCTTAAAGTGAATTCCGTTGCTCAGGCTCTAATATGAGTAATATTACAGGGAATTCCCTAGTTTGAGACCATACAAAGGGATAGGTTGTCTGGTACACGGTTATTATTATTACCTAGACTAAAAAATGAAAATAATAACCTATAGTACAGCTTGTAGTTATTAATATGCGAGCTAGCGTCCATTACATTTACGCACATGTTACCATAACGAAAAATTATCATAAACAATAATCACGATAACGCACATGACGTCTAATATAGTATTATCTGAAAAATTTTTTCATACTATATTTCATACTATATATATAATTGTGTTATTTACGAATGTTATTCGTCCGATTTAAAGTCCCTTACCCTTACCCTTCAAAACCGGAACACAGGAATTCTCACATTACTGCTTGGCAGCAGAAATGTGTAAGGTGGCAGTAATACCCTGGATGAACTCTTTCACAAGGAGCTCTACTGCTACTAAAAGGATTGGAAGGAGTGAGACCGTTGACAAACTTAAAAAATGCAATGAAGAAAACGCCTAAGACGAAACCAGAGAATAATCTGACTATATTTTACTTAAACTTCAAGGAACTAATATTGAAAGAACAATACTTTCCTCTGAAATGGCCGAATTATTACAACTTATTTTGTTTTATATTTTTGACATGCAACTAGTAATTACTTTACTGCGGCAGTATATTTATAACTAAATATAACTATTTGTAATAACTTAAGAAAAGGAAATTCTCAATTTGATTGTTTTTGTACGGTACCTGATTACTCTGACATTTGTGAATCGGTTTCTATGATTCCTTTTTTGTTGGAAAGTAGTCCTGTTCAAATTTATAGAAAGTATGTTACCTCTAAGGATGGCAAATTACAAGATAAATGCGGTGTATGAATGTTACCCACTTTCCGTATATATGTTCCGGATAGATGTAATTCCAATGAAAATAAAATGTTATGATGACCTAGAGTTGATCTGATGATGAAAATGGCAGACAGGTGAGAAGAATTACTCAACAATACGCAGTAGGTACCGTGTGTTTGGGCTCATATGATTTGTTTGATGGGGACTTCCATGAGCGCTTCAGTTATCGTTGCGGAGACCGCGGTAATTCAGCAAACATTTTGTTTATAAAAAGTTATAATTATATTGAACTTTTTGCTTTTTTATCATCCCAAGATGGCAAGGTCCACTACATTTTTTTCATTTCTCTATTTCTACTTTACTGCACAAAAAACAGTACCAATGGCAGCTTAATGCCATTAAGCCAATACCAGTCAACAGAAAAGCTGGATTCAGAATAATTAATAGACGGTGCATAAATTGACAAGATAAGATTAAAACCAGATAGGATCAAAGATTATAATAATTTACGCATATAAATATACATTGAATATAATATAAAAACAAACAAAGAAGAAAGATATACATTAACTATATCCACATGCAAACAATCAATAATAAATATATAACAATGTCAGACTAAAATAGATACGGATAAGAGTATCCGTATCTATTTTAGTCTGACATTTTCTAACATTTTCTATTATATTCTATTCATACGTAGAGACGTATGAATAGAATATAATAGAAAATGTTTTATTCCAAAAAGAAACAACACAACTTACGTACATTTAACAATTACGAAACATAATTATAAATTGAAAAAAATGGAATTAAAAAAGGAAAGAAAAACCAAAATAACAATTAGATATAAGGTACACACAGATAATACACGAAAAGGGAGCAAACAACTATGACAGTGAATAAGCGAACGGTAAGTCATAAAGAGTGCATGTTGTGCTGTTACCGTCACCGTCAAACTTAAGAGTTATACTCTTGTTGGTGGAGCATATTCCAGTCAGTCAAATTATAACAAATTAAGGAGAATCTGCTTATTCTAATTTAAAACTAGAAAAATACAAAGTATTCTACACTCGTAAATAGTGCCATAATATGTGAATTACGCGCCTTATACCGGTAATGGATTTTTATTATATTATTCATTATATTCTATTATTTCGTTGCACTGTACTTCTCTTATACGTTAAATTAAGCACAAAGTTTTAATGCTCGAAAAATCTGAATTATTTCATATAAGCTTGAAGTATAGGAAAAAGGGAAACATTTGCTAAGTTAATTTAATAAATTCAATGCAGGATTCTTAGTATTTTGTAATTATTTATTTTATATCTTACCAACATAGCTGTATGCGTTTTTGCCTTTTAGAACATTTTAGTTCGAGTTGTATTATATGTGGTAAAATAACTGGCTATCTCTTTATTTATAAAAAAAGAACAAAAACCCGTCACTTGCTGTAATTGTTGTGCTGTGAAGCGATATTTATTCATACAAGAAATCAATTATCATTATAATTATTTCCTTGCAAATGTGATGAAAAACGTTACATGTAGCACGGGCGGTAAAAAATTCCAAACCTCGAGTCATCGAAATCCTCAGTCTTCGGCTTCGGTATTCTAATAGACTCTCGTTAGTAATTTCTTATTTACCGTCCTTAAAACACAATGTACTATTCCGATCTCTAATGATAATATGCAAGCAATGCATTTGCGATGAACCATTCCTTTCCTGTATGTCTGGCGCACAACTGGCCTGGGCAACAATAAGCAAGTACCTTACGGCGACGAATCCTTCCACCTACATTCCACCAGAACAGCAAGCATTATTGTGTATGACGTCGATACGATTGGAGAAAGAGTATATATGCAAGAATTAGAGCGGTCGAACTGATGGAAAGTCGTTAAAGCGACTGCAGAACAAACCTTAAAACTCGTGTGGATACATATGATTGCACTGGCTCTCCCTACCATTCAATCTGCTGTACACCAGCACTGCTAGACGATGGACCATTTCAGCCGGTTTTTACATATAGATATAAACCTATTACCAGAGAAATCAACGGCTGGATTGTATTCTAGTAGCAGTAGCTCTACTTGTACAAGAGCCTAGCAGCAGTATGAGCGGAACGGCGTTCCTGTTTTGTTACAACCTACAGTCACATGTGTCAACCAACTTTCTGTATTAGGGTGACGGTTACAGTGCCAGCGCAGCGCCAATATGAATAGACGTGTCGACTTTCACCAGGCGCCCGTTTAAAAAAAATCCTTTGTTTTACTTAGCGATGAATTCATCTGAAATCAATATCTTGTGCCGTTTCAACCAGCCTCCTTTGAGGCTGTGGATGCTTTACACACCAGTCTGGTTTGGAAAAGTTATACACTGTTCACTCTCACGCCTTAACACTGTATAAATAAGAATGAACGGAGACAAAATGAAAGTGTTAACTTTGTCCTTCTTGTTTGTAAATTATTAATCGATCAAAAGGTTCCTAATTAACGACAATAATTGAAGTTCAACTTCTGAATTTTACAGCCAAAAACACTTAACTTCGCAATTAAGGCTGCGAACTCTCAGATAAGGATAAACACTTCGGAGATTTACCAACTTTTTTGTTTTTAAAAGTATTTTTTAAATATTTAGATTGTTTTCCGGTGAGTGACTGAAAGATGTAATTAGAGTGAAGTTTTCTAATACCGATTCAAATTAAAAATTCTGAAAATAAAGACACTGCGAAGTTTTTATATAAAAATATATACATTTCTAAATATTGTTTGGCAGATGCCTGGAGGAAATTTCGGTTATTTTAAATGAAACTTTGATACCACAACAAACTATCTTTATTCCAACATTGAGGAAATATGGCGAGAGATCTTGTAAGGAAATATTAAAAGGTAATATTATGGCAATATTATGTTTACATTAATTAAGTTTGCACTAATAGTGAATATTCCCAACATGCTACCGCCTCACAAGATTGAACTCAATGCTAAAAAAAACGTAGTCAAACGAAGAATATTAAGTTTAACAAAATGTTCATAATTTGTCATTATTTTGCTAAATTTTTGCTTCTGGGTAATTACCCAATAATCAACATAATAACATTCAAAATGACAATGTCTACAACTATTCCAATTGCTTTGTCTCAAATACGGGAATTCCTTGTAATATGAGTAGGTACCAGAGGAATTGAATTCACTCTGAGGTACTACTAATAATACCCAGACTAGAATAAATTTAAAAAAGATTGGTTTCCATATTGCTTTAGTACAAACGGTTGTTGGGATCATCTCATATTCGTTGAGATCATCGAGATCTTTGAGAGAAAAACAATACTAGATATTAGAAAATTTGAATAATTCCTCATTCTGACCGTAATTGAAGAAAATTAAAATATAAATAATTTACAGAGTTGTTTAATTTTAATTCAGCTTATATTTTCGTTACGTTTTGAATTAAGTGTATAAAAATATTATGTTAATGGTATTCATTATTTATCAGTTGTCATTAATATTATATAATCCATGTACGTAACTGTTTGCCTGAATAATAATGTTAGAAACTAAATAGAGATACAATATAAAAATATTTATAAATATAAAACAATGCGTTCAAAAGTTATTGTACCAACCCATTTCAAACATAATTTCAATAAAAGACAAAACTATTAATCCGAAATAAATATGTAAATTCTTTTGTCGGTAGGTACTTAAGTTATTTTGTTATCAATTTTCACACTTGATAGAATACGAAAAAGGATTACCGAACAAATAAATATCATCGTCTCCTCTCAAAAGGAAAAAAAGATAGGATTGGCGTAAAATATACGCAACCGCCGTAATATCGTCATAACATAAACATGGCACAGAACACAAATACTACGCGAAAACACTTAAGCGAACACGGTCCACTTACCGTAAACTGAAATAAACTTCCCTCGTACATCATCAAACACATCGCACAAACACTTTAGAAGCACAACCATAAAAAAGTAGGAATTTTCAAATTTCCAACACACTATCCGTTTAAGCAAATTGAGGTATTAACACTTTTTTTTACAATCAATTTATGTTCACGCAACGTTCCATCACCAGAGTTCAATTTCGTGTTTTCTAGGTTAATGAAAACATCGGCTGTGTAAAGTAAATCGGCGGTCGTGCTTCCTCTCCGATAGTCGCGTTCGCACTACCTATAAGGGCGTATCTTGACAGATCCTTATTGCGCTTGCGTGTAACGAAGTGACTCTTTCACCCAACGGACTTATTCGCAAGTTAATTAATGTATCAACTTTTTCGGCCCCCTGTATTAACTGTCTAGGTTAATAAAATATTTGGCTTAGTGTCCCTTTCGTCCTTTACGCAAGTAATGCTGTCAGGGGATCGCTATCAGCTACGGCGTATTTTAGACAGTTTTCGAAATATCCAATTATAAAGCCGATTTATATTTCAGTAAAATACTATTGGAGAAAATAAATCGCCCATTACTTTTAAAAAGGTGTTATACTCAGCAGATGTCGATTCACGGTAAAAAAAATATATATTGCTATCAATTTATTAGTACGTTGTATTATTCTAGATTCGTCTTGTTACTTTAAAGTTCAAAAAATTACTAATTTACAATATAATTAGTCGACGATTCGGTTTGAATAGAATCGGTAACAGAAAAGTTGCAACACGACCAGCAGTGACGGAGTATCTCTCTATCTATACATTCGAGTATTCGGACATATAAGCGGTACAACCCATTAAACATTTTCCTTTTTGAAAATACGTGTATTTAAAAGATGTAGGGGAGAATCTATCTGTTTATGTGAGTTGCCAATCTACAGTTTTATTAAAAAGAGTGAATACTAATAAATGAGATTGTTGTACTGAAAATGTACTAATATTTGGGAATATGACTTTTCTATGGACGTATACAATGCCGGAGTTTAGCCATAAATACGTAATTTTTTAAGCAGCTGTGCTAAGAGGATTGTCACACACCACGCTGCGAGGTCGTCAGGCAATTCATTTGATATTCATTTAAATAATATAATAAATATGGAAGAATTATAAAATTGAAATAATACATTGGTTCATAGTGTGAATTATAATGAATTAAAAATGAAGTCAGTTTTTGATCGATAGGGATGGATAATGGGTCAGGTTACATCCGCACCAGCGCATCATTGCGATTTTGTTTCTTCATTCGGTTTATGGCGGCAGTCGTTATCATATGTGTTCTTTGCTGCGTATACGTCATGTTGTTGAGTTTTTGTTTTTAATGGTTGAATTTTAGTTTTGTTATTTTTTTTTGTTGACTTTTGGTTTTACTCTGTTGTTACGTTTGTGTTTGCTTGCGTTCGTGTAAACATAACCACTATGGAGGCAAAAAAAGGACCACGCCCTGCAATGTCCGTAATCGAGAAGATTATGGTAATTAATGTCTACAAGGATACATTTCTAACCTGGCCACTAAACGAATATTGGTCTTTTTGCGAGTGTGCGAATAAAACTGCTGAGATTCTGGGGTGACCTGAAAGAACCGTTCGAAGAATAGTTTGCCTGAGTAAAAACAAAAGTCAATATTTGACAAATTAGCCACTGATATAGAAGTCAAAACATATTTTATGTTCCCAATATAAAGAATATTCTAAGATGTTTCTTTTGCACAATTTCTTATGGGCCGTGACCCTTCTTATTTCCCACTAATTTTTTAAATTGAAAATATTTTATGACACAAAATGATTCTAAACAGTTTTGTAAATTATTTTATTGTTCAATCCAACAGGATATTTTTCAATTATAATTTATTATAGGAAATGAAACTTTTTTTCCGGATTTAAATCGCGTATATTTGTTTTTTCAAACAAACCGACGTTTCGGGCCCTTTACAGGTCCCATGGTCACGGTTGACTGAGGTGGTACAGTCATCAACCAGTTATGTCTAATATTAATGCAAACCACCCTATTTTTTCACTATATTTACAATAGTTATTAATTAATTTTACAAAGAAACATTCCAATTTACGCTACATTAAGTTTTACAAATTATTTTATTGAATTAATTTTTATTAAGTTCAATTTATTATTAATTAATAATAGAAATTAGAATAAATTAAAACATATTAATTAGTACTGCAGTCTTATGTCTGTTTGGGATTTTTCATTAGAGGAAATACTGGATCCCAAACTGGTGGTACGGAGAAACCATCTTCCGCGTTGAAATTAGGATATTTTTAAATTTCAATGGCCTCTCGCAGCATCCTGGGTAGATAACGGACTTCTTTTGCAAGGCCCTGGGGTTTGTCAAACTACATTGAATGTGTAGGTTTATCCATGATATGCTTGCAGACTGCAGACTTTAAGCGAGGCTTAATGCGATTCCGTATCGATAAGTGTGGTAACTCCCTAAACAAATTGTAATGTTTGAATCAGATGGTTGTTCACTCCATTCATCGGTAATGATTCCGTAGTTCGTTTCTCACTATTCTATCACAAGCCTTTTCAAGCCCGATTCTTTGGAATTTTGCCAAGATTTTTTTGGTTTCGGCAGACTTTATATAATTCACTAGAATAAATTTCGCTAAAATGGTTCTTCTTAAATTTTTAAATTAATTAAAGATTGTGTTCTATAAATAAATTTGTTCACAAAGTCTGTTATTTAAAATAATCACTTTCTCCTTTATAAACGATTAAACTTACTAAGTGTGCCAATAAATTTAGTGCCTAAGTTTTGTGCGCTTTAACTGAACGGACTTATCTTAGTAAAGTATTTCTGTAAAGTAAAAGCAATATTTTATTTAAAATTTAAAATTTTTAAATTTTTAAATCCTTAGTATGAATAAATTTAAACCCTTAGCATGTGTTGATAATAATTATGTAAGTGTTGGTATTTTTTTATTTATCTGTTAATTTATAATATTTCTCCCTCTTTCTCTCTTGCACGCTGTCACCCGCTTATGACCTTTGTTCTCATTGCCTTGGATTGGCTGAAAGATATCATCTTTAGTGATAAGTTTACCACAAGTTGCTCATCTTTTGTATAATTAATATTTGTTTAGCATTTGTTTGGTGCAATAGCCGTGTAGCTTAATGGTTTGACCTACTGCCTCTCAAGCAGAGAACGTGGTTTCGAATCCAGGTTTGTATCTCTGTTTCGTAATTCATTTGCTAAATTTAATTTGAAATTTCCTATGAGCTTTTCTACACAGAAAAAAAAGGATTTCTACTAATAAGAAAGAGCAATTTCTCAAAATATTTGCTAATTCTGAAAAAATATTTATTAAAAGTAATAAAATATTGTCATTACAAAAATACTGCTTGTCTTTTTCTAATACAATTTTACTCTTAACTTTATTCTAATTTTTAGACAAGTACGTTCACTTCAAGATTTTATTTCATTTCTAATCAATTAATTGGACACTACTTACATCAAGAAATTTTTACCTCTCACATCGAATTTAAATAATCTTAAATGAATTCAAAATTTCTTGGGTGTATTTTAAGAAAATATATTCTTAAACAAAAAAAGAAGTAGTTTGCTATTCAGATTATTTTCTAAATTCTAGAGTATATTCTTAAAGCAACATTTCGTTGCGTTTTCATAGTCAATGTTGTCGTGACATGTCGCCGAAGGCGCATGCGGTAACGATTACTTTTACTTGTGCTTGTAATCATAAAAATCATAAACAGTCATTTATCCAAAGAAATAATACGTAGTATCTCTAGTTTCTTAGGGTGTTATATATAGTGATTGAAGAAAGTTGGTTTCAGCATTAAATCAAACTACACTTGTAACAAGCACAACTTTAACATGCAAATGGTTCCATCACGCCACTGCTAGATGGCATTAGTTGTACTCTGAAACGCGCTATCGTTTTGTTAACTTCAGTAGTACAAAGTCATCTCATATATTTGGAATTGTTAGTACTTTCTGCCGCTGTAGCATCCGGCACTAATTTGGTCCTCAAGTATTTGTGAAGATTCCGTCCTATTTTAGCTACTTTAAGGTTTGGCAGTGAACTGTGTGCTTTCGCGCTAGTGAGACATACTGTTGGGTCCATAACCCTGTAAATTTACCCTTTTTGATGTTAGAAAACATCTTCATTCAAATAATTAAGTACCTCTCAATTTTTCATTCTTTTTTTTTCATATCAAAATCGGACAGTTCTAATAACAAATAAATATTTTGTTGAATCTAGAGTGGCTTTGTGACTTGAAGTAAATTAATTTATTCTTGTATTAAATATTTCTTTCTTATAACTAAAATACACTTTTGAGACGTTTTTTTTACTATTATCAAGTAATTATTCTCTAGCGTCTATAGGGAGAGGATCGTTTTGTTGGATTTAATAAATTTGTCTCTTAAAAAGAATTTTGTCTTTTTCTAAGTAATCTGTTTTTACCGTGTATGAAGGAATCATCTTGAGGAAACCTCCATATATCTACAAAACAATTTAATGAAATGTGTGAAGTTCCTAATCAGCATTGGGCTTGCGTGGCAACTACAGCCCAAA